GTTGTTTTTGGATCAAATTGAAGAAAATCAAGCCAGTGATTGATGATCAATCTTACGACATTGAAGATCCTTCGTCTTTCCCCATGGTTCTCGTTCAGATCCCCATGTGCAATGAAAGAGAGGTACCATTTTACCGAATAATTTGGGGTTTTCCAGTCAAATCTAAGAAAAACCCATGTTTTTTTTTTATCGATCTTTTTGCTGATTAATTTTGTGGGTTTCGTGTAATGAAGGTGTATCAACAATCAATCGCATCTGCTTGCCAATTGGATTGGCCAAAAGACAGGATTTTGATTCAAGTTTTGGACGATTCAAGCGACGAACTTTTACAGATTTTGATAAGAAACGAAGTGAATTCATGGAAAGAGAAAGGAGTAAACATCATCTACAGACACAGATTCGTTAGAACAGGATACAAAGCTGGAAATCTTCATTCAGCGATGTCTTGTGATTATGTCAAAAACTATGAATTTGTTGCCATTTTAGATGCAGATTTTCAACCTAATCCTGATTTCCTTATACTGACAGTTCCGCATTTTAAGGTAACAAACCTACATGACTATCTCTCACCAATAATTGATCATGGGTATCCACACTTTCCATATTTAGCAACTGTTTTACTTTTTTGTTTTTCCTTTTTTGATAATTAACCCACACATTTAAAGATTTTTTATTTTATTAAATTTTCTAGTCTTCTGTGAGTGTAGGGAAAAAAAAAACTAATGCACCATGTGATCATGGTGTTCATTTGTTCTTTTTTGATTCAAATGAACTCCATAACAACCATATTGTTTCCAAAAAGTGGTGATAACATTTATCTCTTTATAATAACATCCTACTCTCCTTTCTTTCTATTACAACATTTATACTTTTCATTCTTGTTATCAAGACATTGTGCTTTGAAATATCTACCAAATGTACATTGTAACATGAAGAAATGGAAGATAAGACACTATAATGAATACGTTGCTATTTCTTACATTATCTATTTTTTTTTTTTTTTGTGCGATTTTAGGGGAAACCGGATTTGGCTCTTGTTCAAGCAAGGTGGTCATTTGTAAACAAAGATGAAAACTTACTCACAAGGCTACAAAACATCAATTTGTGCTTTCATTTTGAAGTTGAACAACAAGTGAATGGACACTTTCTCAACTTCTTTGGATTCAATGGAACAGCGGGTGTTTGGAGGATTAAAGCTTTGGAAGAATCGGGTGGATGGCTTGAAAGAACAACGGTTGAAGATATGGATATTGCTGTTAGAGCACATTTGAATGGATGGAAGTTTATTTATCTTAATGATGTTAAAGTTCTTTGTGAATTGCCCGAGTCTTATGAAGCTTATAAGAAACAACAACATCGATGGCATTCGGGTCCTATGCAACTTTTTCGTCTTTGCCTTCCTGCTATCCTTTCTTCCAAGGTTCATTTACTAATTCATTATAATCTTTATTCCGACTTTTTTTTTTTTTTTTATCACTTCTTCATATTATTACAAGTTTACAACATTGTAACTATGAAAGAATTACCACATCATTGCAGTTTCATCGAAATTGAAAAAAAACATATATATAAGTTGCAAATATCCGGTTTTAGTGAACCTAAAATCCGCAAAAGGGTAAATCCGCATATTTCTATCAAACTTAAGGGCTTTTATGTCATTATCTCGCTATAATTAGGTAGATTTTCCGAAAAAAGATGGAAATCAGAATGCTATAATTGAGTAGATCTTAGAAGTACAATGCCTTAATAAGAAAAAAAATTAAAAGTGCAATATTGTAGTAGAAAGATGTCGAAGTAGAATGTTATACTACTTTCATTTCTATTGCACATATATAACACTTGAAGAAACAATATTAACCTTAAAGATTCAATCTTGTTGCAGATATCAAAGTGGAAAAAGGCAAACATGATCTTCTTGTTCTTCCTTTTACGAAAACTAATTCTACCCTTTTACTCATTCACCCTCTTCTGTGTGATTCTTCCCTTAACAATGTTCATACCCGAAGCCGAATTACCAATTTGGGTCATATGTTACGTACCCGTGACCATGTCAATCTTAAACATTCTCCCTTCACCAAAATCATTCCCATTCTTGATGCCATACTTGTTGTTTGAGAACACAATGTCAGTAACCAAATTCAATGCCATGGTCTCTGGTCTTTTCCAGCTTGGAAGTGCATATGAATGGGTCGTCACTAAGAAATCAGGGAGATCATCGGAATCAGATCTTCTGGCGTTTGCAGAAAGGGAATCGAAAAGCTTCAGTGAAGACAAGATTCAGAGACGTTTGTCTGATTCCGGACTTGACATGCTTGGGAAATTGAAGGAGCAAGAGATTCCGATTGTTGTTGAGAAGAAGAACAGAATTTATAGGAAAGAACTTGCGCTTGCGTTCCTATTGCTTACTGCTGCTACAAGAAGTCTTTTATCGGCTCATGGAATCCATTTCTATTTCTTGTTGTTTCAAGGGTTGTCGTTTCTTGCTGTAGGGTTGGATTTGATTGGGGAACAGGTAAACTGAAGGAATGGAAGAAATTGAAATTGGGGAAGAGTTTGGTGAGATGAATCGAGCGTTGGTACATAAGGAGAGTGTCCAGTTGGATATAGAATGAATGATATATCGGAGTTGGGTTTTTTTTTTTTTTTTTTTTTTTGTTTGGGTTATTGTATAATTAATCACACACAAGTTTTATTAATTCTTCGATCGTTGTTTAGTTAATAGGAGTTGATACTTACAGGAGGCGATCGTTATATAAAGATTCGTTTGTTTTGAAACTATTACTATAATTTAATAAACTAAATATCGTATTCTAATTCTGATTGTTTGGCCTATAAGTTAAGCTTGTTGCAAGGTGATTGTTTGAGTAGCTTCTTGATCATCTTATTGGACTTTTTTCACAAGTTTTTCGAATATTCCTTTATGGGCTTGTTTGGTAAAAGTAGCTGTTAGCTGGAAGCGGTTAGCTGGTAGCGTGTAGCTGGTAGAAAGAAGCTGTAGTCTTTATTTGTTATATGAATGTTTGGCAAAAGTTGCTGAAAGCTTTTGAAATATATATAAAATTACATAAAATGATAATTGATTAAAAATAAATAAATATATAAATATATTTTTAAGGGTAATTATGATAATTGATTTCAAAAGCTCATGAGCGTTTTGGTAAACGCTACATGAAGTAGTTTTTAGAATCGGAACGTTTTGTTAAAACTAAAAGCTAAACGCTCGTACTGCCAAACGAAGCTTTTTGTTTAAATTAGAGCGTTTTATCAAAAGCTCCCAAACGCTTCAAAAAGTTCCGTACCAAACACGCTCTATATCTGTTTCACACAACTTTTCGAAATATACCCCTATATGTTCTAGTACGTTTTCCATTTAATTTATCAGCTACATTTTATCAAACACTATTACTTTATCAATTAACTTACTAAGTAAAAGCTAGTTTTACAGGTAATTTGCCAAACGAAACCTAAGTTATAATAAATTGATGTCGGAGAGCTTTAAGGAACGAGAGTAGTCGGAACAAATTTAAAGATAGTTCCTAATTTTTGTGGTATATATATTATAAATGAAATTAAAATTTTAGATAGATCCTAAAACATAACTTAAACAAAGTTTTGAAAGAAGTTATGTTTTAGGACCTATCTAAAATTTCCAAGAATTGGGGCCTATCTAAAACAAAGTTTCTAAGAACAATAGTTGTCTTTTTGGGTTGAAAGAATTGGGGTCTATAGGAAGAAGTTATGTCTTAGGACCTATCTAAAATTTTAATTTCATTTATAATATATATACCACAAAAATTAGGAACTATCTTTAAAAAATAAAGGGTCTAGCTTGAATTTGTTTTTTAAAAAAATATCTTAAAAACCATTTTAAAAAGAATAGTCAATTGTGCTGCTAAATATATAGGATTAAATATAATATATAGTTTTTTATTAAACAATAACAATAAGATATTAATGCTTTAACAATCAATTAGTTTTTCATTAAATCGTTCAGTTTTTTAGTTATATTTCAGTTAGTTTTAAAAAAAATTTAATCGGTGGTGTTTGATCGATTTTTCCAATTAATTTGGGAACCATGTGATATTTTGTTCTAGATTTACCATCGGAAAGAATTAATTGTTAATCGGGTGGTTTATTCTAAATTTTGTAATCTAATAAAGGGTAAATTGCACAAAAAGTCTCTCTCTCTCTCTCTCTCTTTTTTTTTTTTTTTTGCAATTTTGACAATGTGTTTATTTGTGTTGCATATAAGACACTTATTTTTCAATTTGTTGCAATACCCACCAAATCGGTTAACTCATGGTAACCATCTATATCTCCTTAGGTCCTGCCAAGTCAGCGAATGTCAATAACTTCTTTGCCAAATCAGCCTGTTCATTTTAACTCTTCTCAAAACCCTCCATCGTGGATGATCATCTTATTTAATACCTAAATCTATAAAGGGTTTCTTTATTACTTATAGTAGATTCAAGATTCAAATGAACGTTGTAATGAGAAGCCAACATTGTCGGATGAAAATCCAATAGAGGAACTAATACCGTCAAATGAAATGCCCATGGATGAAAGGTGCATTTATCATTACTTGACTCGTATCAGAAATTGACTCCTAGTATGTTTGTGTTGACTTAGTTGGTGTATGGTTCGATCCTTTTTAGGTGGACCCGTATTTGAATTTTGTTTATATATAACAAGTACAACTGATTTTGTAGAGTGAAAGTGGTAAGAACAAACATTGAGTGACTGAGAGGATGAAACATTTATGGTTGATGAAGAATTAGCCGACAATGATTCAGATGAACAAACAGGTTCTCAATAGTTGAAGATTTTCCATGATATATTTCTTTATGACTTGTGCCATGTCCCTGTTAAAAAGGAAAAAGAAATTGTTGCTTATGAAACAATTAAAGATGATGACATTTTTTATAATGAAAGGGAAATAGATGATGATACAATTCAAGGTGGTACTTAGTTTGGTTTACAAGAACCATCATGGAACCACATAGAGAATAAAAGTTATGCTAATAAAGAGGAATTGTGTTTCTATCTCACAAATCATGCAATTGCCAATTGTTATCCACTTAAGGTGGCAAAATCCTCAATTCAAAGACTTCAAGCCAAATGTGATAAATTTTGACAAGAAAGATAAAAGTCATGTTGGGTTAATCGGATTTTATGAGTGCAGAGGCATTTTAGGAAAGTTATCTATTTAAGTTTTGTTTGATTGTTTTAGAGTTTGATAAGGTTTCTATTTTACTTGGTTCATCTTTTACATTTAAAGTTTGAGTAGGATACTATCTTAATTAGTATAAATAGTTGTAGTCGCTTGTTTTGTTAATGTAATTTCCGGTGCTTCTATTTAGTTTACCTTTGTTAGCAAGCAACTTGTTTCTTTTTTCTGTTTCATTTAGTTTTGTTTCTTTGCCTTGGTGCACAAGGTGCAACTTTTTTGTTTACACTTGGTATCAGAGCGAGGTGAAGACGGTGCCGGTTTAAGAGTCGGTTTCAAGAAAACTCTAGCCTTTCGTTGTGGGACAGATACAACGGGAAACTGGGTTCGGTTTAAGGGGGTGTGGATTGTTTTTGAGTGCGAGTTGAAGCATCTCAACAACAGCCCTAATTTTTCTTGATCAAGCTTGTTCTAAGGTAGAGTGAGACTAACCGGAGGTGCGAAATAAACGGATGAGAAGACGTCAAAGTGGGTGACTTTGATTTAGTTCATTTTGCTGGTGACGGAAGACGATAAAGGTGGTTGTGACCTTGTCTTGTAGTTCGGTGGAAAAGTGCTATTAGAACAAGTTTGATTAGGTCGGGGTTGTCAAAAAAATAAGAATAAGACGTTGATTGGTTGAAATCAGAAGGCATAAAGTTCTTGATCGGTTTGTTCGTGATAGGGGGATACCGACGTAGGTGCGTGAAAAGCGGGAAGGAAGGATCCGTAAAAGCAGGTAGCTTTGGATTCAGTTCGTTTGGCAGATTGAAAAAAAACAGTGAAGCGGGTGGCTTTGTTTTCTTCGTCGGTGGAGTTACCTCCTTGAAGAACGGTAATCAGAACAAAGGAAGAGATTGGAAAAACAACACGGTGTGAACATTATGGCAGTGGAAGTTCAAATTGGATGACTTTGGATCTAGTTGGGGTGAGGTCGTGAATCTGGGAAAAGTCTAGATGGTAATGAACGTGTCCAATGGGATGCCATGGTATATGTTACATGTGTTGTCAACAATGAAATGAACTGAGAGAAGACTTTAGACGCAACCGAGGTGGTCGTCGGGTGTCCGGGAATGGTTGAGGTTCGAAAAAGTGATTAAACATTGTATATAAAGAGTGATATGACCAATCCGATTAAGGGTTGATTGTTGGGTTAATCGGATTTATGAATGTAGGGGCATTTTAGGAAAGTTATATATTTAAGTTTTGTTTGATTATTTTAGAGTTTGATAAGGTTTCTATTTTACTTAGTTCATCTTTTACATTTAGAGTTTGAGTATGATACTATCTTAATTAGTATAAATAGTTGTAGTCGTTTGTTTTGTTAATGTAATTTCCGGTGCTTCTATTTAGTTAACTTTGTTAGCAAGCAACTTGTTTCTTTTTTCTGTTTCATTTAGTTTTGTTTCTTTGCCTTGGTGCACAAGGTGCAACTTTTTTGTTTACAATTCATCCCTTTAAACTGTGGCCTTCGTGGATAAATAAAGTAAATACTTTTCATATTAAGGGACTTGATGAAAACTATACCTTGATTAGTGGGTTTAGGCATGCTACATTGGTGAATCCGAATTGAATTGCCAAATACTTCCTTAAAAAGTTGAGTGTCAAGCTAAGAATGAAAGTTAGAAAGTCGAAATATGAAGTTTATATGTGTAGTGTCAAAAGAAAAATTCTATAGGGAAAAAAGAAAGCATTGGAAATTATAAATGGGAAGCTGATAGAACATTATATATATATATATATATATATATATATATATATATATATATATATATATATATATATATATATATATATATATGGGACTATGCACACGAGATCATCAGATCTGACCCCAAGAGTACAACCAAAATGGGTATTATTGTCAATCCGAATGTATGCACATAACTTCATAGGGTTTATATGTATTTCAAGGCAATCAAATATGGGTGGAGTAGGGATTGTGGAAGAGTTATTGGATTGGACAATTGTTTCCTTAAAGGGGAATGCAAAAGTAGCCAACAAATTCTCATGTTTAGTTAATCTTAATTGTGGATGCTCTCGGTTTCTAGGCTTTTAAACTAGCCCAAATTGAGCCTTATACTGTGATTCAAAAGTGTATACACCAAAATCTTCGGTTGAGCTTTAAAGACTACATGTGCACTTGGTTAGTTTATGCATAACATCTGTATCTTTATACCATCGTATTTTTTGAGGTGTGGTATGTTGGTTTTCTTGCTAAATACTTGGCCAGGAAACTCTAATAATCAAATAAGGTGTCCATAATGACCTTTACTTATAGGGTAATGGTGTTAGTTCTTCTATTGACCATTATGTTGACATTAGTATAATTGATGTTTAAACAATGTTTTGAGGTTAGTTGTTGTAGTTATGGTTTGAGTAATTGGTGTTGTTTCGATGTTTGGAAAAGTGAGCAACGAAGGTGTTACGAATGTTTGTAACATCCGTGTTTCCAAGTATTTTCAGTTATGGCTTAAGTTTAAAAAACTTTATTTTTGGTCCTTACGCGGGGGGTAACCTATGGGTATGTCAGGCGTAGTTCATTAAAGGGTGTCATGGACTCCTTTGAGTACGTAGATCCCAAGACCTAATTTTTAGGGTTTAGACCCTATTTAAAGCACCTTAAGCCCTTGAGACCTTGCTTACCTTTAGCCCCCACTCTCTCATTCTATCATTGCAAAACCCTAACCCTTAAGAGCTTATTTTGGACCTTTAGATTGTTCTTGGTGTATTGCGGAAGAAGAAGGAGTTCATTATTGCTGATTGGTTGGCTTTGAGCTTGTAGATCCAGAGTTTTCTTTTCATCTGCTAACTTCTGTAGGCATAACTCTTATACCTTTATGGTTCTATGGTTTAGATCTATGCTAGGGTTTAGTTTTGCATAACTTTTGGTCCCATGGTTTGGTTCTTGTGAGTAAAAGATACTCTAGTGCTCAAGTTTGTCACTTTATGTTGTGTTTTAAGGAACTTGTGTCATAAAAATGAAGTCTTTGTTGCTATTTCTCACTCATGGAAGAGTTTGAGGTTATTAAAGAGTATTATGGACTTAGGGTTTGGATTTGGGCTCTATTAGCCCATGCAAAAGCTTAAATTTGTCGAATTTATCATTTAAGACCTTCCTAAGATTAAGATCTATAAGTTGGACGTATAGTCTTTAAGTATTAAGAGCTTAAAGTGGTTTTGGACAATAGAGGATTATGCAAGGCGTAACCTATGAGTACGCATGGCATAACGAGTTTTTCTCGTTTCCTTGTCTATGGTAACCCAGTATGCAGGACATAATGGGGGAGTATGCATGGTGTACTCTTATAAGTGCATTTTGGGCCTTGGCCCATGCTTAGTTGAGTCTATTTTGGAAAATGGTAGAATGGTCTTTTACCCTCAGTAAGAGATATATGATTTGGGCCTTGATTATGGGTTATTACCCTAATTATTAATTAGAGTGGGTTTTGGATGTGTTCAGTGTGAGGATCCCTTGTAGCAACAAGCACGTGTGTGATTCGGTTATCTTCAGTTTGAGGTAAGTCTTCTCACTATGCTTGTGGTTCGAATGCACCAATGTCGGCCCATTGAATTGTGTATATAGGATGTTAGTTGTCTTTATTACTCTTGCATGTTTGTATGATTGGGTTGAGATAAACCCCAAGGTTGGGCCCATTATTATATGATCGGGTTGAAATAAACCCCAAAACTGGACCCATGATTGTATATTGGGTTGGAATATACCCTAAGGTTGGGCCCAACTGTATGTTTGATATGTGGTACTTTGGGGAACTCACTAAACTTTATACGTACAGTTTATGTTTATAGTTTCAGGTACTTCCGGTACAAGAGGGAAGGGCCCAGCGTAATGGCATGACATCCCCCTTATGATTTCATGCTTATGATTATTTGTACTTTATTGATTTTGACATTTTGTATTGTGGAATACTTTGAGACATCTGATGTATGAAACTAATGGCTTTTAAAACGAAAATTTTTATCATTGGTTTTTGGTCGTTACAATGTTAATCATATAAGATTGATTGTTGGAGTACCCTTAAAAGCTCATTTTTAATAGATGTGATTTAAATTGGATTCACCCTTCTACCTGTCATCTATGTTCCGTGATCGTAGTGATTATTGTAGTGGATGACACCAATGACGTAACTCGGTCTTGGAGAAAGAGAATTAATGATGGATGGATAGAGATCTTGCGTCTTCCTAGTTGAGGTGGAAGCTCAAATACATGTTGATCACAATGGAAAGACTGCAACAGTAGTAGTAATATGGGTGGTGTACTAGGATTATACTTCGATGTTCAGGTTAGTGATATTCCCAACAGAGTATTAAGGAATGATATAAGGAGTTTTTAGAGAATGATAGTTGTCTCGAATGGAGGAAGTATTTCTAACGTTGATGAAGGGGAAATTTATTGTTACATTTTACTAATTTGTGCCTTTGTCGTATATACTTTTTACAGGTGATTGTGGGAGGCGCACAATCCTTTTGAGGGAATTAGGTGGAACGCTTTTGGCACTCTTGCATTACTTTGGTTCCATACATTTGGTGTTTTCTTCCTTGCTTTGGCTTATGAGGTGTCACCGCTTGTCTTGGCGTTTGACATAAGTTGAGGAGCTAATTGTTCGGCTCTTGGGCCTATTAGGGTGGTACACTAGTAGTATGTAATTTACAAATGCATGAATTTACAAATTATTGGACCATTAATCACAACTACATTAACCAAATTGCAAGTGCATGAAAAGTAGTAGTGTATTAAAAATGAATGTTGCCTCATATCCACAAAAAAGAAAAGAAAAAAAAAAACAGTAAGAGTTGTCTTTTTTGATATAGGTAACGGTTTGTAGGGATGTAAACAAGTTGAATTAGTACTGGCTACTTGAGCTCATCTCATTAAAAGCTCGAAAAGAGTCAGGCCTTAACAAGCCAAAGCCTAGAATAAAACCCGATCATGCATGTGACGCCTCATTTAAACTCGTGAGTTTAAACGAGCTTTTGTATAATATAATTTTTATTATATATATATATTATTATTTATTACTTATATATTAAAAAAAATATGAAAAAATAACTAGTTGAACGGGGTCTTTAATGAGCTTCACGAATAAACGAGCATTAATGAGCCGATGTCGAGCTTCAGATATATGTTTCACGAGCCAAGCTTAAGATCGAGATTGAGCCTCTAGACTCTTAACAAGCTCGAACTTTTATAAATTTAAATGAGTGGCTCGATTAACGTCAAGGCTCAACTCAACTCCTTGACATCATAACTGTTTTAAAATTGTTTTTTCAAGATTGTAAAAGCAAACATGGAAATTGACATACCTGTCTTCGTGGATATGGTTTGGTAAACTCATTTTTAGCTAATGACAAAGTGTATATGTTGTGGTAAATATAAACATCTCCAAAGCTTAACAAACACATATGCATGGAAAAAAGTTTTGGGAACGTAAAATGGGAGTTTGGAACACTTTTAAGTTCAATCCCACATCTAAATGTATCTTATAAACAGTTAGTCTGAAATATCATAACCCAACCCAAAACGATTTAGCTCACATCTTATATGACCCATATAATTGATATTATTGTGTAGGAATGATTTTCTAAAAAATAAAAGTTATACGTATCCATATTTGTTATAATAATAATATACAGCACACTAATAATTTACAAATTAAGTTCTAAAAAAGTTGATAAAAAGCGTCGGGCCATCTGGACCAACCGACAGAAATTCTGTTTTGATCCGAAACAGATTTGATGATTTGAACATTTTATTCAACATTCATCTGGCCCAACTTCCCTAGGATAGCTTACGTTTGTCCTCGAGATACGTCTCTTTATAGACTACACTACAGAGCCCATAATTCCTAATTAGTTCTTTATAGACTATACATTTCTACATTTCAGCTATATCTTCAAATACGAACAAAAACTGCTTGATTTCTCGTTTCACTGTTCATATGAATACCTGCAATAATCGGAATATCGGATAGGAGTTTAAAATTGAGGAATCATTGGTTCAAGGCTTCCACTTATATCTTCCACAGAACGCTAATGGCGAGAGTATACAGGATTCAATAGCGAATTTTTGGGGAAAAAAAATCAGTTTTGAACAATTGTGGTGAGAACCGGTGATTAACCAAGAGTAGACATTTCTAGCTCCTCAAGGTATGTCGTCTGGGTTCATAAGTTTGTTATTTGGGGTTGATTGTGTGTTTACAAGATTACTCTTGAGGTAAGTTGAATGTAGAATTAGCTGGTTGGACTTGTAATTCAATGTGTAGCTTTATCTTCCTATGAGCGCCAGGTGTTCGATGTAATGTCCAAAAGAGATGTTCTCTTTGTTTCCATAGGTTCCTTCTTCTCTGATATAACATCTACCTTTCCATGCAGATTGACCTCAATAAAAATGGTGGTATTATCATGCTCAACAACACACTCTTCAATACATCTTCCCTTCCATTCTTCTGTTGTTACTATTACTCCAATTCCATGTAACTGCACCAGTATCAATTTCATTCAAATGATTACTCACCCTATCCTTATAGAAAAAACATCTAGGTTTCCTGCAATTAGGGGACAATTTTACCCTAAATTTTGTGCAATCAATCCACACCGAACTTCTTCCACTACCCACTTAGGAAACTGGGAAGATCCTGTTAGTAGTGATAGTGAAACTGATGAAGAAGATGACATTGAAGAGAACAATCTTGACTTTGAAAGTGATTGGGAGGAAGAAAAGGATGCTTCAGAAACCCAAATTAATATGGAAAGTTTGTCCACAAGCCAGATAGAGGAAGATTTAAAAAGAGGTTTATCATGATATTATTATACCCCTTTGTTTTTTTTTTTATGGTTTAAATCGTGTTCTATAAGCTGAAAGTGGAAAATTTGTTTTTATGATTGCAGAGGTTGAACAACTTCTGTCACCTGAAGAAAGAGCAATCTTGCAACAAAATGAATCTCCTAATTTGGACAAAATATCAACGGTGTGTTTTAAAATCATAATATGCATTCTGACTATAAAAAAAAAATGTTTGTTTTTTTATTGGCTTTTAAGCACCGAATTTGATTTTTTTTTTTTTTTTTGAGATTTTGTAACTCAGGAAAAGTGGAACCCTTTGCATACATTGGCCTTATCAGGGCAGATAAAGTTCATGGATAACCTTTTAGAAAATGGATTTGAGATTGATGCAGTTGATAAGGTATTTTTTTTTTTTTTATATTTAATGGATCCAATTAGTGAAATTTAAAACAACTTATCTAAAAATCATATGGGTCAAAGTCAATTAGTCAAACCGAAAGTACATTGCTATTTCTTGTATTTTAATCCGTTTAATGCAAAGCAGGAAGGACAAACTGCTCTTCACAAAGCAGTTTTAGGGAAAAAAGAGGCTGTGATTAGTCATCTTTTAAGAAAAGGTGCAAGTCCTCATGTTCAAGATCTGGTGGGACCCACCCTTCTCCTTCAACCTCCATTTTCCATATCATTATTCATTTCTTTTATTTCTTCTTCAAAAAATTACTAAAATACCCTTGTGATAGAGTGGTGCTACTCCACTTCATTATGCAGTTCAAGTGAGTGCCATGCAAACGGTTAAGTTGCTCATCAAATGCAAAGTTGACGTGAACGTTGCTGATAACGTAATAATATAAATATTTGATTCTTTTATTTATTTCTTACTTTTTGTTAAAATTTAATTCAATCTTATTGTTTTATAGGAAGGGTGGACCCCATTGCATGTTGCAATGCAAAGTAGAAACAGAGACATAGCAAAAGTTTTGCTTGTGAATGGTGCAGACAAGACTAGAAGAACTGAGGTTAGTAAAAATTTTATAACAAATTGCAAGAAATATAAAAAAAATGGATCGTTATATAAAATAATAATTTAATATATTCATTTTTTTTTCAGAATGGGAAAACACCTCTTGATTTAGGGTTATGTTATGGGAAAGAATTCAAAGCATATGATCTTGCCAAATTACTAAAGCTTGTGCCAGCAAACAATTATCACTGATGCCACGTGTCATGTTCATATGTTCTTGTTTTGTTATTCCACATATTTGATGTTCAAGAATCGATAGAAATCATCTTGAATTACGTGAGATTTATATGTATTATTTGTAGAACTGTATCAAATAACAAAAATGGTTTTGCAAAAATAGGCACACGCAATGAAATGTTTTACTTCTTTCATGAGAAAATATATAATACTCTCCTCTAAACTTGTTTGTTTAGATTTTTGATTTTTGTATTCCATGTATTTAAATTGTGTGGTATTTTTTTACAAACGTTTTAGTTGATTATCGAGTTATTGTATTTGCTACTTTCGATTTTTGGCTTCCTAAACATCCGGAATTTGTTTATGTGGAATAGGAGTTTTATGAGTTATCGCAGGTCATAATGGTGTAATAAAAAAAGAAATCGTTTGTTCGCTGGGTGTCTCATTTTTATTATTTATTTATTTTTTTTTATTTTTTTTAATTTCATGACCAAATGGTTAAATTGGTAAAATTTTGTTGCTTAAGAGGGTGTTTGGATTTATAGCTTATTAGCGGTGAGAGAAAACAGCTTTTGCAAAGTGTTTGTATTAAAAATAAGCAATAAGCTACACACGGGGGGAGGGGGGGAATGCTTTTTAAATTTCTTTTATTTAATTTATTCCCGCTGCAATAAACTGATTTTTAATGTTTTATATCCAAATACTTAAACTTAACTTATAGCGGTAGGGATAAACAATAAGCTACATTATTTTAGAATGAATGATGGGCTGGGCCACCTCGAATGGCGTGAGTCGCATGCGGGGAGACCTGCACCTACGGTTTTTAGGGGGATCTGGTCGAAAGACCGACCGACGCCCACCCGACTAGAGGGACTGAGAAATTAATAAAGTACAAAACTTATTTTCAAGCTTTAGATTATTCTGATCGTTTAGAGTGCGATCGCAGGGTCACTGAATGAAGTCATAAGCTCCCTTTTTTTCCCTATCCAAACACTCTCTAAATATGGTTTTGCTTCTTATTATTGAAGTATTACATACTTAATCCAACCAAACTAGATCTTTTATTAGAAGATATTTTTTATTCATAGCCAATTTTTATTATTTTTGTGGTTATAAAAATTATAAAGAATTTATTTTTATCATTAGAAAACTAAGATTGTATTAATATGCCATGTTATGTTTAGTTGGTACAATTTTATTAAAATGACCTAAAGCATATCCAACTCACTTCTATATACTATTTTTCACTTGATTTCTCACTCCATACTTCTTCAATCTCATGCCATTTTGGTATTACTTTGTATGTATAGTAATACTATTTATTTTGATTTAAAAGATTATTATTGAAGTTAATCCAACCAAACCAGATCTTTTATTAGAAGATATTTTTTATTCATAGCTAACTTTTATTATTTTTGTGATTATAAAAATTATAACGAATTTATTTTTATCATTAGAAAACTAAGATTGTATTAATATACCATGTCATGTTTAGTTGGTACAATTTTATAAAATGACCTAAAGCATATACAACTCACTTCTATATATTACTTTTCACTTGATTTCTCACTCCACAATCCATAGTTTTAGAGTTTTACAATTTTGCCCTAAAATTTTTATATTTTAGATTTTGTCAACAAATAATCTTAAAAGTTACCCATAAACTTTTTTATTTTAGACTTTAGCTACATAATAGATTTGATCTCTAAACTTTCGTAGGTTTGTACTTTCCACCACTTACTTTGTCGAATGTCACTTTTCATCTCATACTGTGTAAAATATTATTTTCACCTCCTCAATTTTAAACATTGATATTTTTCATCTATTTACATTTTGTATCTTCGCATATTTGCATGTTTAACATGTTTGATCCTTACGTAGAAAATAAATTAAAAGAACGGTCCTTGTAATCTATATATAGGTCCTTGTGCAAAATTATATTTACATGAATGATGCATATGTTTAAAAAATTACATAAATGCTCATTTCTTATCAGGGGCAGACACAAGATTTCATAGTAGGAGTTGCACGGAAAGATTAGGGGTTGCACGATAGTATAAAAAAATAAAAAATTTTAAAAATTTCGAAATTTTTTCCACTGCGACCAGAAAATTTAGGGGTTGCCAGTGCCACCCGGAACCCCCTAAATCCGCCACTTTTTCTTATAACAAAATTTAAAATGTGAGTTTTTGTCCCTAAGTAAAGAATGAATTGTGAAAATGATTCATGTGTGTGTTTTTAAACAATCCTTGTAAGCTTGTAAGCAAAACCTTGTCTGCATCCCCATGAATCGGGATGTGCATTTTCTATTGTTCATAAAAATAAAGCTTAATATATGCAACTTAAATTATAAAAAAAAAAAAAAAAAAAAAAACTGATATAATGTAACATGTTATTTTTATAATTTTATGATAATATAATTTATAAATTTATAGTAATAAAAATATATTATACGTATAATACAAGATGGGTTTGACAATATATATAGAGTTACAAAAATAAATACAAACGAAGTAAAATAAAGATTGATAAAAGCTTATATAGAAAACAAAATTAATATTAATTATTACAATATTATAATAAAAAATAAATAAAAACATATTGTTATTTATGGTATTGAATTGTAAGTAAAAATGAAGAAAAAAAAAGACAAAATTGCAAAAATGGTCCCTGTGGTTGGCAAATTTATGTACTTTTGGTCCAAAATGAAATGTTGGTGCACCACTTGTCCAATTTTGAATACCATATGTGATTTTGGTCCCTATGATTGACATTTTTGTGTGGTTTTGGTCCACACCCAACTTAAAAAGACGGATATACCCTTATATTTCGTTTATTTATTTCTTTTTCAATATATTATTATTAAAAGAAAAAAATAACACCTACCCCACCCCTCCTACTCACCTTTACCCTCCCTCCCTCTCTCTCTCTCTCTCTCTCTCTCTCTCTCTCTCTCTCTCTCTTTCTCTCTCTCTGCAAAGAGCGTGGTTGTTGGGTACTTCCCTTTCAATCGTTTCCCTGAAAAACCCAAACCACCATACGCCCCTCCCATTTGCTACCTTTTGGCATTCAATCGATCAGCAACTTAGAGAATCCTTCCTTTGTTCTTCTTTATCTTCATCAATTTTATAGCTCCACCATCGATTTCCTGAGAAAAAAACGGATGCTGCTTCAACCCTAATCATATTCCAAGATTCGTAGGTATCCACATTGGCGCCACCTTGATACAACCAGTGATCGAGGAGTTTGTATCCAACGAAGATGGTGGCGGTGATTTTGGGGGTGGTGGAGTATTTTATGATGTGATGTGATGTAACAGGTAGGCGAGGCAGAGGTTTTGTCTTTTGATGCGGAGGGGAGAGATGGAGGAAGAACAGGGGAGAGAATGAGGTTTTAGTTGAGAAATATGCTGAAGAATTTAGTCTACAAAACCCCTTTCGTTTTCTTCAAATGGGTTCATTGCCTACTCTGCCCTCAATTTGTTGGGTTTCAAAATGAAAAATATGGTATGCTGGTTATAAAATTAAAATCCTAGGAATGCAATGATTGTATTTTGCTAGATTTCAAAATCATTTTTGATTTCTTCCATAAATGTGTTTTGTTGGTTTTAAAATTGAAATCCCAGCAACTCAACATTCAATTTAATTGACTATGGTTTGCTTTTTTGTTCTCACTGGTTGAATTAGGGACGACTTCAACATCCAATTTCTTTTGTTTCACCTAAATGCGAGAGAAAGATGATAAAAGATTATCGGTTAGTTCTTGCCGAAGCTGCAACTTCTCGAAAAACAAGACTTGCCTCCTTCATCTATAGCCTTCTGTATAGAGATGGGGAAGGAAAGATGGATCCACCACCAGCGGAGTCTAGTTAATCGACGTGTGTCAAATTTTGACGAAGTTTTCTAACACTGGTGGTGGTGATGTTGATTGGTTTTTGTGGGTGTTGTGTTGGGGGAGAAGAAGCAAATGAATTAACTGATAAAGGTGTTGACTTGTTATCAACTTTGACCAGTTTAAGCTTGAGCAAAAATACGTTTTCTGGTGATTTACCAGAACTACAAGATTTGCAAACAGTTTGATCATTTTGTATCTGAACAATAACTCGTTTTCTGATCGAATCCCAGTCAAATACAGTCAACTCAACCACCTTCAAGAACTCGATCTTTTTATTGTGTGTGTTTCTTTTGTTAAGAGAGAAATTACAAATGAAAATATAAATTAAATCAATCTATGTATTTCTGGAATTAAAGAAAATGAAAAATATAAATTGTAAGGGCATAACTGTCTTTTTAAGTGTGTAGGGACCAAAAACAATAAAAAGATCCAAAATTGGACCAGTAATGCACCAAGGTATTGTTTTGGACCAAAACTGCAGAAATTTGCCAACCACAGGGACCATTTTTGCAATTTTGTCAAAAAAAAACCTTATATGATATATTTGATTACACACAATTATAATAAGGTGAACATTTGGACAGTTAGATCGAACCAGCCAGGAACCCGACTTTGATCTTGACCAGGACTAGTAGTAGGTCTGATCATCAGTTCTTTAAATCATGCTTAATGGGTCTGGATACAAAACCGGGTAGGTCCAGTCCAGGTCTGTGCCCGATTCAATGGATATTTATTTTAAAGCAATAGATAAACTAACTTTGGTAGGACTTGTAGCACTTAAAGTTGTGCCAGTTTATTAGTAAAAAACTGAAAAACCCAAACCGGAAGCTAGATCCAGATCCGATAAGCAAGTACAATCTACAGTCTACCAATTTCTATTAGACCGGTCCACCCTACTTCAACGTGTTGTACCATGTGGGCCGGTCCAAGAGCCGGTTCTGGTCCTAATACTGACGCTAGGACTTTGGGCTGGGCCATAAATGTCTGCCATGGATGAAGACATGAAGTCGTCGACTACTTCGATATTTTTCGCGCCAATAAGCCCAGTACCTATTCAGGAATCGTGCAACATTTTCCGTCATTGTCGAGTTCTTCTTTGGATTGACTGTTTACTTCGCTTCATGCAATTCAGTGGATTTAAAAGGTATATATGTTTTGTTGATCTTCAGTAACAACTATGTATTCGATATCTTTGAACTATTGTAATACGACACATCGCTTATTTGGTAATAGATAAAAGGGGAATGATTAGGGTACAGAACTGCAGATTGCTGTTTCTGATTTTTCCTGCACTATCAATCCGTAAATTGGCTTTACTATTTCACTTTTCAATGATGATTTCAGGTGAGATTTAGTGTTTGGGGTTATAACTAGGGCAAAATTTTGATTCTCCACAATCATTAATGGAGGACGAGAAGGACGCGTTTTACGTTGTGAGGAAAGGCGACATTGTTGGCGTGTACAGGAGT